AACCATTATCTTTCATGCATAACCTCATGAACATCACTTCTTGCTTTTTTAATATGAAATACAAAGACCATACAGTATCCCTGTTTACATTATTACTTGGCCCTTAGGTCTTGTATGACAGTGAAAAAGTATAAAAAAATAAATTGAGCAAAAGAAAATGGGACATATATTTGAACAATTCAGGAAAGGACATTAAAATATATTCTCTCAAATACACAGGCCTGTAGACTTAATTAACAATGCTTACACTAAATAAAAAATAACTATGTGCAAATTGGTCAATCATCGTCATTCCCTTTATTCATTATTTAATTAAGAAGTTATTTTGGACAATTTCTAACTGAAGAACTTTGCTTTGTGAAAACAACTCCTGATGGTACATTTTCCCCAATCTTACAATTATTGACCTTTTCAAGTCTAGGGTTAACCATTATCTTTCATGCATAACCTCATGAACATCACTTCTTGCTTTTTCTTATGCTCATACAAGACCATACAGTATCCCTCTACATTGAGTGGCCCTTAGGTCTTGTATGTGGTGAACGTCAGTATAAAAAAAATTCCCCTAGAAAATGGGACATATATTTGAACAATTCAGGAAAGGACATTTTTCTATATTCTCTCAAATACACAGGCCTGTAGACTTAATTAACATAAAACACTATTTAAAAAAATACAACAAATCACTTGAGCATGTGCATCTACAAAAAATAATATTTAATATAATCAAAAATAATACCAGATTAAAAATAAAATCCATCATTTCCTTAGATATACTCATATAATTCCATCATTGTTTCTTTTCTTCACAACCAGGAAACCTGCAATGGCTTTAAACATCGCTGATCCCATACCATTGGACACAGCAAATTTTAAAAGTTCATCACTGACCACTGAAGAAGTAAGAGCTTTGGCTTGAAGTCAGTTTTCCTTCTCCTAGGTGAGTTATGGTATACTTAAAATCACACTTTCAAGAGACTTTATGGTTTCTGCACAAGCTCTTCTATCATAAAAAAAAAACTAATGTTAAGAATGTGTATCAAAAAATGCTTTATGAGAGTTTTTCCTCAGTAAAAGAAACAAAAACTGACAATTTTAAATATCAACATTTCCACTATTTTTATTAGTTCTCTGTAGAATTTGGCATTTTCTCATTTAATCATTTTTTATAGTTTCTGTTTAAAGAAAAAAACCTTCTGAGTGACTATAAAGTTAAACAGCACATGTATACATAATTCTTATAAATTAATTAAAACTTGTATAAGAAATAATCTGAAAGATAAATACAAAGAGGAAAAGCTCTTGTGGGTACAGAATTTAAGTAATGCTATAAAAGCAGACATTTTTATTAAAAAGAGAGGGAAATGAACAGAAGAAATAATACAATTATTGGTTTAATTAATTTTTATTCACTGCAGTTCATACATTATTTCTGTATTTTTTACATTTTTTTTTAGGGTTTCAAAACAGCCAATTTAGTTTCTTGGGTGGGTAGATATTTGATAAAATACTTAACAAAAAAATTCATTAAGATTTGAAGCCTACCTAGAGATTTAACTAATCCTTTCAGCATTGAGGGAATCATTAATTGCCCACCATTTTGCAGTTTCAGAGATTCAAGAACAAAACTGCTATTTCTACAAACATGGCTCCCCAGCAGTACTCTAGATATTACCATTAAAACTGTAATTCAATAATTGGTATTTTTTGAGATAAAACTTGCAGATTAGAGGAAGAAAACGAATTATGAAGATATAAAGATACAAGCTCAATCTTTAAGCAGTTGAACCTCTTCTTTGTATACCTGCTGTTCTTAACATAATATTTCTGCAGATCTATTCTTCAGCCCTTGTCAGGTGTATTCCATGAGAAAAAAATAACTTTTTCTTTTCAGGAAACAAAATGGCAATGGATAATGGTCATTAATATAACAGCCAGACCAATTCATTTTTGCAGCTCTAGGTAGATGACTTGGGATCTCTACACCTTTCTAACCTTTGTAGTTCTTAAGCGATATTTGTCTTTTTACTATCCCTTCTACTCACTGTCCTGCCATCCTTTTATGCAAGCTCTTTAGGTGCATTGTTCAGCATTTTCCTCTTGCCTTCAATATGCCCTATGAGTGTCAAATTTTCCAAGCTTTATTTCTACATTATATGTCCTATGAATTTCAATTGTCTCTTTAAAAGAGCAAAACAAACACTGCAAGTATACAGAAAGCTTCACTTGTCTGAAGAACATTGGTATTCTCTTTAAGTGTCAAGTTTTCCAAGCCTTCTTTCCTCATTATTTCAATTGTCTCTTTATAAGAACACAACAGCAAGTATATTGAAATGTTCATTCGTCTTAACATTGGTATGCTAATAACTCTTCTCGGTTATAAAAAATACATAGACACAAAACTTACTGCATAACAGGATAATGAATTGTATATATTAATTGGAAGATCACATAACCACTGTTAAGAAGAGAATGTTGAAATTGTATTATCACATCATAAGTGCTGACAATTTCCACTGCCATGTTGAATTTATTTCCCAGAAAAATCTAAAAGATTCAAATATTTAAACACGTGTAACAATTTCTTCTAAGACCTTGATTGTGAACCTAGGGACTTGGCCAAACAATGTTGGTATGCTCTTTGAGTGTCAAGTCTTCCAAGCCTTCTTTCCTCATTATTTCAACTCTCTCTTTACAACAGTAAGATATAACAAGTATATGGAAAGGTTCACTCATCTTAACAACATTGGTATGCTAATAAGTCTTCTCAGCTGTGAAGAATACAGAGACACAAATGTTACTGAATAATAAAATAATGAATTGTATATATTAAAGACATAGTGAATATTGTCTTTATGTTTTCACTATTTTACCAATATTAATCTCAGAATGTGTTTTTCCTTTCAGATTTTTCACCTATTTCATTCAATGAATGATTTTCTATTTGAACGGCTCATGATAAAACTCCATCAAACATGTTTGTAGCAGCAACAGCGTGTGTGCTAGTGTCCGTCCTACACATGTGCAAAAGTGTGGACCTCACCTACTATGTGGAAGAAGGGAAGGCCCCAGGAACTTATCTAGGTGACATTGTTGCCGACACACATCTACAGGACAATATCCAGTTTCATGACCTCAGCCAACTTAGCTTTAACCAGCTAAGCCAAGGCATCTCAGGTAGTGATGAGTTCTTCCGAGTTGCCAAAAAGACAGGCAAATTATACACAACCCAGACTCTTGATGCAGAAGCTCTCTGCAAACACAGCACTGACTGTTTTCAAATCATCAAAGTCGCTGTGCGCCGGGAAGAAAATTTTATGAAGATAATAAAAATCAAAGTGATTATTCAAGATGTCAATGACCACCAGCCTGTATTCCCAGAGCAGAAGGTCAATATTCAGTTTGAGGAAGATGATCGGAAAGGAGCAAGAAGGTCAATTCCTAATGCCATAGATGAGGATGTTGGCATCATAAACTCACAAATTACCTATCAGCTGAAGAAGAACATGAATGAACCATTTTCATTGTCTGAATTACAGAGCGTTGATGGCACTTCAGATTTAAGTATAACATTGGATGATACACTCGACAGGGAACTGAAGGATTCATATATAATTCAAGTAATAGCTAAGGATGGAGGCTCTCCACCAAAACAAAGTGTTTTAGACGTGCACATATCAGTCACAGATGTCAATGATAACTCTCCAGTCTTCTCTCAAAGTGTCTACAATATTTCTATTATGTATGAACATGATAGAGGTACACCTATTGCCATTTTGTCAGCAAGGGACACTGACACAGGCAAAAATGGCAATGTTACATATCATTTCAGTTCAAAAACATCAGAAATTGCAAGAGATCATTTTCGGATCAATGAAATCACAGGAGAGATCTTCAGACAAAAAGCATTTAAACTTGGACAAATTTTAACATATAAACTTTATGTGAAAGCCACAGATGAGGGCAATCCACCTTTGAGTTCAGTTGCAATTGTGCTTATCAATATGATCAACCAGCAGAACAATGCCCCCCAAATACACGTAAACTTCTTTTCTTCATCCACAGATAGCTCGGCAGTTATTTCAGAACATGTTGAAGTAGGCAGTTTCATTGCATATGTGATGGTCACTGATCCAGACTTTGGACAGAATGGTGAGGTCACCTGTGACCTTCATCATGACAAGTTCCAACTTCAGAGCCTGGGTACGAAAGAGTATAAAATAACTGTGATAAATCCAGTGGACAGGGAAGCAGCTGACCATCATGAAATAACCATAAGCTGTCAAGATAGGGGATCTCCACCTTTACGGAGTGAGAGCAAATTTTCCATTAAAGTGATGGATGTCAACGATGTAAGACCGCAATTTTCCAAGGATGTATTTAAGTTCCGGATCAATGAGAATGAAAATTCACAGTTCCCTGTTGGATCAATCAATGCTACAGACCCTGACCTTGGCCCTGGAGGTCAGTTAACTTATTCCCTGTTGACCAACAGTAAACATTTTTTACCATTCCAAATTACAAATGATGGACTGATATCAACTGTGATGTCTTTAGATCATGAATTTAAAGACATTTACACATTCCAAGTTTTTGTGAAAGATAATGGAACTCCTTCATTAAATAACACTGTAAACATAACAGTCCATGTCAGAGATGAAAATGACAATGCTCCCTACTTTACATATCCTAGTGTAAACCCCTTCACTCTAGATTTCCTCTATTACCCACATCACACGAAGAATATTACAGTTCTGAAGGCCTCTGATATTGACAGTCAAGAGAATGCATTTCTCCGATATGAAATAATTGGAGGTAATCAAAAGCAGTTGTTTACAGTCAATCATTATACTGGCCTGTTGTCTTTCACAAGGGAAGTAACCCATGAAGATGCTGGTTCATATGACCTGCAGTTTGTTGTGAAGGACAGTGGTACGCCGGTCTTGTCCACGAATGTGAACATGATTTTGAAACTGACTGTGAGCAACAAGACATCAGAAATGCTGAATTCTGAACTGACAAAGTCAGATGATACTATTCATCTCTTTCTGATGATTGTCATTGTGGTAGTGGCTGTATCAGTGTCAGTATCTGTTACTGCTGGCCTCTCAATATGTATTATTCGTTGTAAAGACCGGAGGAATGCATCACATACAGATGGCGTGAATCCCCCTTGCAAATGTGTTACGGAGCATGGACATTACATGTGTTCTTCTCAACAGCCAAGTTATTGGCCTGATGACGCTGTTGCCCAATCTACAGAGCCAGAATCCTCACAAAGTCTCACAAGGAGATCCCGGAGAGGACCACACCAAGGTGGAGAGTTGGGGAATGGACAGAAAACTGCCGATAGCGTTTATCAGGTAAAGAGACTTTTATCTATTCTTGCTTTATAAATAACCTGCAAGCAAAAAGAAAACAACAAAAAAAAGAAGCTATGTTCTTTTTGTTTGTGAAGCCATTTAAGTTAATGATAAAACATTGGTGGAATATATAGCCTTTAAAGTTCAAAATACATCAGGATCTGATTGTAAATGTTGTTAATGAGATAACATCAATATGTACTACTAACAATATCACGTTTACTTTGATTGCTTTCACATTAAGCAAAATTGTTTTCTATTATTGTATATTTTAACATGACCTTTTCACATTCAACATAATTGCTTTCATAATGATCAACATATGGGTATGACAATAAACTACATCCAGCTGCAATGCCTTTGATTGGGAGGCTTTGAGGAACATGGAGCCACCTTTTAAATGCCGTTGTTCTTAGGTTCACCCTGACCTGGGGGTGGTAGCACCTGTTGTGAATCCCCTAAAAAAAAGTCAAAACACTCAGAAAGTATAAAAATACATTTTTATAATAAAATTACCAGTAATACATTTTACTAGTGAAATTACCAGCAATACATTTTTTTTAAATTATCAACAATACATTTTATTATCTACAAACTATATCTAAAAAACATATGTTTACCTTGAAAGTATAGAATTATGTACAAAATATCTATAGTTGAGGGTATAAAATTGCATTCAAAATATTCAGATTTCGGCAATAAGTAAACCATAGAGGTTGATATAATACTAAGCAAAATCAACTAAACCAAACCAATCATAATTATTATGATTGTTTAACACACACACACACACACACACACACACACACACATACATACATACATATATATATATATATATATATAGAGACTTTTTGCATCCATCATTATTGCTTTCATATTTATTATTCTTTCGCACTTACCATGATTGCTTTCACATTTAACTTTATAATTTTCATATACACAATTATTGCTTTCATATGTCCCATGACTGTTTAAAATTTAACACAATGGCTTTCACATTTACCATTAATGGTTTTCATATATAATGATTATTTTCACATGACTTTTTCACATTTAATATAATTGGTTTTATATGTGTAATAATTGCTTTCATATTTGCCATTATTTTTTCCTATATATATAATGATTTCTAATGATTGTTTTAAATTATGTACCATGACTGTTTCAAATCTTACATGACTGCTTACACATTTACCATTAATGGCCTTTATATATACAGAGTGTCCAAAAATGTATTCACTCTTTAAATGGCAATAAATGCAGTGTTTATTAGTTTGCATTAAATATTAAATGAAATTAAATGCATTGACCTGAAAAAAGTGAAGATAAGTGGAAAAAGGAAACAAAAGAAGTAAAAAAAGTGAGCACAATTATTTTGGAAACCTTGTATAATGCTGACTTTCAAAATAACTTTTTCACATTTAATATTATTGGTTTATATATATATATATATATATATATATATATATATATAATGATTGCTTTCACATTTCATGTAATAAACCTAGTGGGTAAATACTCAGCTAAACTATGTCTAGCACAAGAGAAGATTTGAGGGGCACCCAATGAGGATCAAACTCACTGCAGCAACAATGATTTGGCTTGTTAACCTTTACTTGACTGTCAGGTGTCCTGTAATACTTATCTGACACAAAATTGTTAATGTAATAATATGGGAAGAAATAATTTAAATATTTATTGTAATAATCTAAAGTTATCAGAAACACATTTTTTTTTTAATAATGTTCACCCAAGAGTCACTCAAGATTACTGAATGAGGTTCTTGCATGAACATAAGAGAATGGATAAGACATGCAGAGTATGAAGAAAGTTAATGGTTAACCCTGAAGAAGTTAAGATTATAGTGATCAGGGAAGCATTCTCATGAGAGTCTGTTCCACAAAGCAGAAGCTCTTGGGAAGAAGCTGTGAAAAGAACTTCATTTTTATCAAAGGGAATTTAAAATGGAAAATAATTCATCACCTTCAAGGCCGCATAAATGCTTTTGAACTCTGTTGTCTGGAAAGAGAGGATTCACAGAGACTTAGACAGTGGTATGCAATGGAGACATATGGAGAGAGTTGGTCAGGTGCTCGGCAACCCTGTGACCACAACCAACCATGACACTGATGATGATGGTTTTAGTTTTATATTCGAGAAAATATAAGTTTATCTGAATTTCTTAAATCTTGTCTTTTAAAAAATAGATCCAGAATATTTTTCAAAGATATTGATGCTTCATTTAATTTGTGTTAATTTCCAAGCACTTCGATGTACATGTATACATTTTCTTTCCAGCATATACTTAATTATTGAAGATTTATTTGGCCTTATATCTGTGGATATAAGACAATTAGAACTATCACTCCCAAAGGTAATCTGCACTAGATATATCAAATATATATAACATTGTAACATACAGCTAACATCACACTACAAATTTTATGGAGAAAAAGCATTATTTCAATTCTCTTTTGAATTCTTAAAACTACAGTAGTGTTCATTCATGTTGATTAAATTTTAAAATTTTTTATGTAATTAAATTAAATAATATGCTAGTTATTTACAAAATAAGTTTTTTTTCACATTTTTGGGGGATTCAAAACAGCCAGTTGGGTGTGTAGACATTTGATAAAATATTTAACAATAAAATTAATTAAGATTTGAATCTTACTCAGAGATTTAAATAATCATTAATTTTTCCTGTATTCTAGTCTACTGTTGGTCATCTTGAACATGACTCATTCTTATCACTGAATCATTACAATGTACATAAGGAATAAATAGGACAGGTAATTAATTGTTAAGAAAACAATTGTAAAATGGTTATAGATAACAATAATCATCAACCATGGTTAAAGATAGTGTTTTGAAAATGTTTTTGTCATGACCCATTTTTTGTACTTTCTTTTCTGGTAGAAATTTGCTTCTCTCACAACACATTTTTTGTACTTTTTTTTTCTGGTTGAAATTTGTTTTGCTCATGACCCATTTTTTGTACTTTCTTTTCTGGTTGAAATTTGCTTCTCTCATGACAAATTTGTTGTACTTTCTTTTCTGGTAGAAATTTGCTTCTCTCACAACACATTTTTTGTACTTTCTTTTCTGGTTGAAATTTGTTTTGCTCATGACCCATTTTTGTACTTTTTTTCTGGTTGAAATTTGTTTCTCTCATGACAAATTTTTTGTACTTTCTTTTCTGGTAGAAATTTGCAAAATAAAGTAATACAAGCAGTACTCAAGAAAATTTCATTTTTTTCCTATTTGAATTTTCTGATGAATCATAATTATTAAGTTAATGACTGGATTAGCTCCTTGCAATTTCTATAAATATAAGATACCCATAGAAATTTCCCTAGTGCATATTTAGATATTGTAGTTAACTTTAACAAGTTTTGCAATAATAATCACAAATATGAGTGCATGCATTTATCTAAAGAAATAAGAGGATAAAAATGAAAAGATTAAAAATTGCCAAGGTTTTCCATTTCACTAGCAGATGTTAAATGTGTGAGCATTTTTTTTTCCAAAATAAATAAATTACAAGGAATAATCATGAAAATTTCTTTGTTTTCCTATTTAAATTTTCTGATGAATCATAATTATGATGCTAATGACTGAAGGTAATCATTAGTTTCCAGCTTTTTGCAGTTTCAGGGATTCAAGTGGAAAACTTCTATTTGTATAAGCATGGCTTTCCAGCATTAATCTAGATATTAAAACTGTAATTCAATAATTGATATTTTTTGAGATAAATCAAAATTTGTAGATAACAGGGAGAAAAAAGAATTATAACGATACATAGATACAAACTCAATCTTGTTTAATCAGTTGAACCTTTTCTTTGTATACATGCTGTTCTTTATATAATGTTTCTGCAGATTTATTCTTCAGCCCTTGTCAGGTGTAGTCTATGAGAAAAAAAAAAACTTTTTCTTTCCAGGAAACAAAATGGCAATGGATAAATGGTTATTAATATATCAATCAGACCAATCCATTTCTGCAGTGCTAGCTACATGGCTTGGGCAATCATGACTCTCCATACCTTCCTATCCTTTTAGTTGTTAAGCAATATTTGTCTTTTTACTATCCCTCCTATCCCTGTTCTGCCATCCCTTTAAACTGAAATTGATATATGTGTCGCAAGGAATAATTTCTGGCAACAACCCCTGGGTAAGAAGAAACCGGTATAACCCAAAATGTGCAGCTCTTTTTGTTTCATTATGACTCCTTCTGTATTTAAACTGAATATGTTTTCTAATAAATGTAGTATTGTGCATTTTAAATGGACAAACAATTTAGATCTAAAATTTGATCATCTTGCCCTCAGCCATGTGACAGGTAATGAACTAGTATTGAATTAAAAAAGAAAAACATGCCTTGCACCAACCAAAAATTTATACAAATTAGTTTTCCCCATCATTAATTAATCACATGACATTAGTTGATTAATTAAAATGTATTTCTAGAATGTTTAAAAAATTTATGAATGAAAAAAAATTGGCCATCTTATACAGATTATTAATGATGTTAAAAATGAAAAATATTTCTTCTTTTTGAGTTTATGCACAAGCGAAAAGACACAATTAGACTCTGTTGATAATGACTTGGAAAAAAGAAATAACAAAATTTGAAATCTTGTATCTGCTAATGTCTCTTTCAGGCAGAAAGTCATGAAATTGATTTTCCCTGTACCCTAGTCTACTCTCAGTCATCTTGCCCATGTCTAGTTCTTATCACTGATAAGGAATGAATCAGACACTTAACTGTTCAGAAGACAATTGCAAAATGCTTATTGAGAACAATAATCTTCAAGCATGGTTCAACATAAATCCAGAAAGTGTTTTGAAAATATTTGCATTTCATGACACGCTTTTTGTACTTTGTTTTCTGGTTGTAATTTCCAAGATAAAGTAATACGAGCAGTACTTATGGAAATTTCATTGTTTTCCAATTTGAATTTTCTGATGAATCATAATTATTACACTAATTACTGG